CCACCACCAATGCCGCCGCGTCGGAGGACAAGGATCTCGACAGCGTGCCAGTCTTCTCGCTGGCGAATGCGGATGGCCAGCTCCTGCAGTACGAGCGTGGTGGCGCGATGGTGGCCATGTTCTTCTGCGACGTGGACCGTGCGCTGCGAGAGCTCTCTGTCGGGCGCGCCAGAAGCCCGTCGCTCGGGCTGCAGCTTCTTCCGGTTGGACTGGGCGCGGCGGTGCGCCACAGCAACGCGGTTTTCGTCCCGGGCCGGGACGAGCTTGTGGCGGCGCAAGAGGCTCAGCTCGCCGCGCCCTCCGAGGCTGCAGCGATGCTCGCAGAAGCCGGGCTGCCCAGCCCGGTGGCGCGCTGGGATGAGGAGCACATTCCCCTCTTCAGCTGCATGAGGTTAGTGCGTCGCAGGCCCGACGGGACCCGTTTCTCACCCCTCTTCATGAGCTCGGAAGACGCGAAGGAGGCCATCGCCGCCGCCGCCAGAAGCAGCGCTGCGGCACAGGGCGGCTCGGACCTGCAGATGGATTGCACGTCGTTGCCAAAGCTGCTCGCGCTGCCTCTGCCCGCACGCCGCCGCTTTCGCGTCGTGCCGCCGACGCGCTCCATGCTGTATCTGCAAGGGCAAGGTCGGCAAGTCACGCCTAAATGATCGAGGAGACGAGCTGTTGCTGCGGACCCCCCGCCATGTGCGAGTGTCCTTTTCTCTCCGCCGTCGGGAGTCAGAGCATCTCTCCATCACACAGTGTCAGTGACGTTTTGTGTGATATTTTACAGTCAGAGACGAGTCGACGAGAGCTGCGCACCGCGGCGATTACGAGACCGACACATATGTTCTCTTATTGGTCGGAAGTGGGGCAGCGGCTCCCCCCACCAAAGTTGAACCGTCTCCTTAGTGCTTAGATACATACTTACATATGCTAACGGATGTTAAGGCTTAAGCCTCGCCGCCGCCGCCTCCGCACGCCAGGAAAGCGTCGAAGGCGGTGGGCGCCGTTGGCAGCAGCTCCGCCGCCGTGGGCGTGTGGGCGTGGCCGTCGCTGTCGTGGACAAGGACACGGACATCGCCGTAGCCGTGCTCCACGAGGATGGCCCTCGCGGTGGCGTGCGGTGCGTGGCACACCCCGTGCTGGTCGGCGAGGCAGAGCACGCGCGGCTCGACGCCGCCGTCCCTGCGCGCCGCGAGGGCGGGGGCGAGCAAGCACACCGCGTCGAGGCTGCAGCTGTACTCGAGCGCCTTCCACTGCCACGCCCTCGCGTCGCTGCCGTCCTCGAAGACGACGCAGGCGCCTGCGAGGCAGTCGGGGAAGGGGGCAACTCCTCACTCGGGGTGACTCGGGGTGACAAGCCATCGGCCCGGGGGGCGTGTCTAGTGCCTGGGGTGGGTGGCTGGTGGGGAGTGTCTGCGTCTGGGGACTGTCGTGGGGTCCGCTGCCGTATCCAATCGCGTGGAGCGGGCGCGCGTCCCTTTGCGCCGCCGCGACCGCGCCCTCCCACGCCTAGGGGGAGGATCCAGGAGGTCCGGGAACGCCCACCCGCCGCGGTTCACGGCGCCGCGCCACGCCTGCTGCTCGTGGGCGGCGGGGAAGGGGCGGACCGCCGGCCCAAGTCGCCTCCCGGCCGCCGCTTGCTCCTCGGCCGTCAGGCGGATGTAGGGCGACGCGTGCGGGTAGAGGCCGGCCAGCCGGAGGTCAAGCCTCCGCCCACCGCCCTCCATCACGATGCGCGTGTCGGTCGATGTGAGAGGCGACGACATCATGAACTCACGGCACAGCGCTCCCGGCGTGATGGGCTCGGCGGCGTCGGAGGCAATGTAGACGGCCGTGACGCGGGAGCAAGCTGACTGAGGCAGCATGCAGAGCTGCACGAAGGCGGCGCGCTCGGCGCAGATGGAGTTCTTTAGGCACGCCGCCTCGTCGTTGTGGCCAATCACGTGCGAGACGGTGCCGTCGCCACGCTCATAGACGACGACTGCCACGACCCGGAATTTGGACTGCGAAGGCCGGCGCACCCTCTCGTCGCGCACCCGGTGGGCCTGACGCACCCAGTGATCGTCATCGAAGCCGCGCTCGTCGACAAGGCCGCACTCGCCGCACTCCCAGAGGCCGTGGGCGAGGCGCGAGAGGCCGCCAAGCATGAGACAGGGTTCCGGCTCCTACCCGGATAGGGGGTCTATATCGCGCCAACGCCCTATCCCCAGGCCGCGCAGCGAAGCGTAAAAAGTACCTATTGCAGGGCCCTTTTGGGCCAAACAAGACCAACCTACCTACCTATCTGGGAGGGGCCAGCCAGTGTGAACAGACCCCCTATCCGGGTAGGAGCCGGAACCCAGTGATGGAGTCGAAGGAGCGCCCAATCGGTCGATTCACGCGCGGCCAGAGTGAGCATTGGTCTCATTTTTATTTTTTCTTGTCTCTTTTTATTTAGAAAACGAAAGGCGAAAGGGCTCGCACCTCAACCTCTCACAGACCAGCGCACAGCGCCAAAGGACGTATTTTCTTCTCAATAACAAGGCAGGCCCCGGAGGCCTCCCCCAACTCCTCAAAGAGTGCTGGGAGATGGAAAAAAGAATTCGCGGCGCGGATGAGGGTCCTCGGCCTTCTGGGGCTCATCGCACGCCTGCCGTTTGTTGACGCGGCCGCGGCGCGCGGCGCTCTCTTCCCGAGATCGGGCGCTCTCACCGTCGCCGCCGAACTGAGGTTGGGAGCGAATGCACTCACGTCAGCCGAGATTGCGCTGCTGTCGATGAAGCTTCGGCGGGAATGCAATGTCGCAGCGCTCTGGAGCGACGCGGTGCCGACTCTTGCCGAGGTGTGTAAGGAGCAGGCGACTGCAGCCACAGACTTTCCCGGGCCGCTTCCCGTGGTGTTTGCGGGCGCCGCGTCAGAGGTGGGAATGGCGGTCGCTGCCGGTGCAAGTGCGGTGGTGTTGGCGCCTGCAAACGTGGCTGCAGAGGCCCTCGGGGTCGACGTGCTCTGGCGGGTGAGCTCGGCTGCCGAGGTTGCAGCGGTTGCTGATGCTGGCCACGGCAGCGGCACGTTCCTCGTTGATGGCGAGGGCGCAGACGTGGGCGACATTCTTGGTGCCATACCACCCGAGGCGGCCGCGGTTGTCGCGATCTCCGCGATGCAGGCCGACAATGAGGAGGTGTCCCTCGGGCGCCGGCTCGCCGCCGCTGGCTGCCGCTCCCTCCTCGTGCGCGGCGCGTGCGTTGGCGACGACGAGGACGTGGCGTACACGCGCTTTGTCGTGGGCGGGCTGACGTCCAAGATGAGCTCCAAATTCAAGATCGACGGTGCGACGGGCGCGGCAAATGGTCACTTTGGGACCTCGGGTGGCAGCCTCCTGCGGGACAGCAAGACGAACTGGCGGCGGCAAAGGGAGCGCACCATGACGTAAATACCCGCCGTTGCGGGACCGCAGTGAGTGTGCGTCCAAGCAGTAGCAGAAGCACGGTCGCCGGTCGGTGCCGCGCGCGCGGCTTACGTGGCACACCTGTCACTAGGAGCTCTTGGAGTGCGGTAAAATTATTTCTCTCCGTCGTCCGGACTTCCCTCATCCCTCTACACTACATGGTGGAGGCATCTGCGCTAGCTGCCGCTGGGTCTCTCGAGTCGCGGCTGCGGGCTGGAGGGACTGCGGGACTGGAGCGGCCTGCCGTCTCGCGGTTTTTGGTTACCTTGAAGCTTGATCCTTGTTGCAATACCATGGCGAGAATGGCGTGCTATAGTCCCCACGGGCTTTGAAGCTCATGCCGAAGATCACTTTCTTTCGACGTACTGTGTGAGCCAGACCGACCAGGAGTCCCAGACGAAGATCTAGCGATTGATCGTCTGGGCGCTGCTCAAGTTCGACCGGTGCGCCTAGGCAACCCTAACCATTGTGCTAATCATCGCCGTGGTCCCCATTTCCTTCGGCCAGTTTATCCAAAGAAAACGGACCACAGCGCAAGGTGTGGCTCTTACGAAGGTGGAAGTCCACTGCTGACAGGGTGTCGGGTTTGGCACTTGCGACTTGGCATATCCTTTCTCTCCGTCCGGACTTCCCTCTACCTCTGCGCGTGGCCCACGCGCGTTGCAGCGGGAGGATGTCGGCGCGAAAGCAAGCGCCAAACCTAAAGACGCCGTGAAATTTGCGAGCGAGGACCGTGGCAAAGGAAGTACTCGTAAAAACGGACGCACGACAAAAGCGGACGCACGAGCACGGCTCGCGTCATGACGACGCGCACGCTCCTGGTCAGCCTCTTCTCTGCCGGCGCGTACGGGCACGGCCGCCTCCTCGATCCGATCACGCGCGTCGGCCACCGATCCTACGAGAACGATCCGGTCGGGAACGCCGGCTCCGCCACCTTCGAGTCCGACAAGTGGGTGTGCCGCCACGACTACACCCCAAGCGTGGGCCGTACCTCTGTGACGGCGGGCGGCGAGCTGCCAGTGCGGTACTCCCTCTCTGCGGATCACGTCGGCGACTGCGCCTTCTACCTCTCGTACGACGTCGACCTGCCCCGCAGCGACATGAGCTGGTTCAAGATTGCGAATGTGCCGGACTGCAAGAAACTGGATGAGCAGACCTTCAGCATTCAGCTGCCCGACTTTCTCCCCGCGGGAAACGCGGTCCTTCGCTGGGACTGGTATGCCCTGCACGTCTCCTCGAGCACTCCCGAGATGTACGTCCAGTGCAGCGACCTAGCCATTTCCGCGGGTGCGAGCCCGACTACGGTCGGCGAGATCACTCCCACGTACCTCGCAAAGGACCTTTACACGGCAGCAGAGACGAACGCCGCGCCCTTCCGCCCTGGCTTTGGCGCCGGCGGGAATGTCGGCGCCGACGGCTTCTTCTTCTCTGGCGTTTCCTGTGCCAACGGCTTTGACGAGAATGATTGCGCCTGCACGGCGACTGGCACCGGCGGCCGAGGCGGCGTCTGCGGTGGCGCGACGCCCGACGACCCCAACGCGCCGTCATCCCCCGCTCCGTCGCCGTCGCCGTCGCCGTCGCCGACGCCAGGCGGAGGCAGCAGCGGCGGCTGCGCCAGCTCTTCTTGCGTCCCGACGCCCGAGTACGAGCCATACGGGTACGAGAGCTTCTGCTCCGCGGATGTGCGGCAGGTGCGCACCAGGATTGTCGCGGTGACGCCAAACCTCGGCAAACCTCCCTGCTGTCCTCCAGGATGGGCAATGGATCCTCGCAACATGCTGGGCGAGTGCGTCAATGCAAGCCTGAACTTGTGCAAAGCATCAGCTTGAAGCTGGTTTGGCGAGGAAAAAAAGAGAAATGACCTCGTGAATGCGAGCCGGTGAGAAGAATTGGGCGTGGCGCCGGGCGAGAAAAGAATTAAATCGGAAAATAATTGAGAAAACTCGCTCTATCGGCGGGGGATGCCCCGCGCGCCTGACCCAGGCGCGAGAAACGAACCTGCGAGGCGCGGCCGCCAACCCACCCGCGCTAGGTCTCGGGGGACGCAGGGGTCAGCCCCGCGCGACCTCGGGAACTAGCCGGGGCAGTCGGAGAAGGGGCAACTCCGTGCACTGACGGTCGGCCGCCAGAAAACACGCCTGCGTGGATCGCGTCACACCAATCCTCGCTACCCAACGCGGCCAAAGGAGATATCCCCCTCCCCCGCCTGCGCGCCTCCGCCACCACCCCCTCCGAGGCGCAGTCCATCATCCAGTCGATCGTCCCCTCCCCTCAGCAGAGCGGGCGAGAATCCTAAAGGATTCACGCCTCCTTTCTCGGACGCGACGCCCAGGGGTTATACAGGACTTCCGCCCTGTCAGCGGTCAGCGGGCGCCCAGTTGCTCAGCTGCGGAGGCGGCGAGGCTACGCGAGCGGCGGCGCGGCGGGATTGCTCTTTTTCTTTTCCGTTTACGGCTCCGGTCAGGTATGCTAAAGAAAGAAATAAAACATTGAAGCCAAAGGATGGATGGGAGGACGGCATTTTGGCGCTCACGCTCAAAATGTACTGTTAGCTTACTGGGAGAAAAGGGAGAGGGGGTTGTGTTCTCTAGGCCCCTAAGGCCCTACGCGCAGTAAGTAAGACGCGGCGGCGGCCCGCCCTCGCACTCCGCATCAGCGTCCATAGTAAGATTTCCTTTTGACGCGAAATCAAAATTTCAAATGAATTGACGGGACTTGGCGAGGCTTGTCCCACTGGCCACTGCCGCTCCTGCTGCCCGCGCCGCCCCGACCGCCCCGCACCCGCCTCCCCCTCAGTAGCCCAGCTCCTTGACCAGCGCCGCGTACGAGTCCTCCTCCTCGGGCTCCGGCGCCGCCCGCGCCGCCCTCTCCCCCGGCTGCCGCTCGCCGGCCCGCGGCGGGTCGAGGCCGAAGAGCAGCAGAAGCCGCGCCTGCGCCGGCCTCACCGCCGCCTCGAGGTCGGCGAGCCACGCCGTCTCCGTCAGCAGACGCTCAACCTCGACCAGCCTCGCCTCGCCCCCACCGTTCCCGCCGCCGTCGCCCCCGACCCCACCACCCCCGCCGCCACCCTCGGCAACCTCGCCGCCCTCGAGCGGGTCGCCGTAGGTCAGGAAGTGCACGTAGAGCGCGTCCGCCGCCGCCTTGCGAACCTTTGGGTAGCGGTGGGCGCAGCAGGCAGCAAGACCGCACGCAGCAGCGCTCGGAGGAAGGGCCCGGCGGCGCTTGGCAGCAGCAGCACCTGCCCGCCGAGCGAGGGGTCACATGTGGGGAGATGTGGGGAGATGTGGGGAGATGTGGGGAGATATGCGGCACCTGCCGGCCGAGCGAGGCGCGCCGGCGGGTGGAGGGGGAAGGGGTAGATGCGGCGGAAGCGAGGGAGGGGGTGGTGGCGGAGGCGCGCAGGCGGGGGAGAGGAGGTGCGCAGGATGTGCTGCGTTGGGGTGGGAGGGGGGGGCAACCTGAATGCCGAGCGCAAAGCGCGCAGCGCCGCCATCTCGCGTGCACACGCCCTGGCGGCGTCGCTCACTGCGCGGTGCAGCGCCTCTGCAAAAGCGCCCCGCCCCCGCCCCCGCCCCCGCCCTCGCCCTCGCCCTCGCCCTCGCCCTCGCCATCGGTCGGGAGGGGCTCGCCGAGGAGCGCCTCGAAGACGCGCGCCTCGAGCAGGTGCTCCGTCTGTTCACAGCGAGCCGGCGCGTGAAGAGACGCCGTCCACACACCGCCCTCGCCCCCTTCGACGAACGTTCGACCGGGCCGCTGGCGCCGTGCGGAGGAGCGGCAGCGCCAGCCTCGCCTCCCTCCGGTGCTGCCGCAGCAGCAGCAGCAGGTCGGAGGCGACACACTGAAGGTCGCGGCGAGGCGCCTGCAGGGGAGGGATCGTCCAGGACACGTCTAAGAAACGGACCGGGACGGCTCCAGGAACGGTCCAGGAAGGGTCTATAGGAACGGACCAGGAGGGCTCCAGGAACGGTCCAGGATGGAAGGGTCTAGGAACGGACCACGCTCGAAGCACCACCGCCAGGTGCTTGTCGAGCTCGGCTAGATCTCGCTCGTTCTCGGCTAAATCTACACACACACACACACACACACACACACACACACACACACACACACACACGCCGCTCACCCACGCGCACCGGGCCTTGCACTTTGAATGCCGTGGGGCTCCTGTCGTTAGACGTGGAGACGCGAGGGTTGCCCCCCCCCTTGCCCCACCACCTCGTGTGTGTGGAGAAGTTTACCTTACCTTACCTTACCTTACCTTACCTTACCTTAGCCGGTAGATGGTGAGCTGGGGCGCGTGGCCAGGCTCTGACTGGACAATCGAAGGATCTCAAAAAAGAATTTTCAACCGCCGAACAGACTCGACGCGCCTTCCTCCCATCCCTCCCTTGGGTTGTCTCTTTTCTTTCTTTTTTCTGCGCCTTCCGGGAGTCCCAGTCCGAGAGTCCGAACGCTGTGTGCTTGCCACAAAATGCCAAGCCTGCTGGCCCTTCTGGCGTGCAGCGGCGCCATCCTCACGCCAGCGCACCGCTCTCGGCGCGAGGTCCTGCAGACAGCAGCTCTGCCCGTGCTCGTCGCGCCTGTGGCTGCTGCGAACGCCGTGACATCTCCCAGCAGCGCGAGCCTGCAGGCCAGCTGGACGGCGACGGCGGGCTTCTCCGACGCCTCCTTCATCCGCTTCGACGAGGGCGCGTACAAGGCGATGGTCGACGACGAGAGGCGCACGCCACTCTTCGAGAAGGCGATCCGGCAGCGGCTCGCCGGCACCTCGGACGCCGTCGTGGTGGATCTCGGGACCGGCCCGTTCGCCGTGCTGGCGCTGAGCGCCGCGCGGGCGGGCGCTCGGAAGGTGTACGCTATCGAGGCCTCGCCCGAGGCCGCGCGCCTCGCGCGGAAGGCCGTCAGCCAGGCGACGAACCTGCCCATCTCGGCGCATCTCGGCTGATCTCGGCTGATCTCGGCTGATCTCGGAAGGCCGTCATCAGGCGACGGACGTTCCGGCGGGCGTGGTCGAAGTGATCGAGGGCTTTTCTCGACCCTCCGCCGGCTAGCACTCTCGGCTGCACTCTCGGCTATATCTCGGCTGTATCTCGGCTGTAGGCTTCTCTACCGCGGCCACGCTGCCCGAGAAGGCGGATCTCGCGGTGGCGGAGATTGTCGGCTCGATCGCCTCCGAGGAGCCTTCACTAGACCACTACCAGACTACATCCAGACGACTGCCGCTACTCTGCCGCGGAGAGGAACAGTCGCCTGTTCCCTTTTTCTTCGAGCTAGCCTTCGATGTTAGGAAACAAACGCAAGGCGGACATGGCATGTCTTTTTCTTTACTTAGGAGGGCCTGCACGCAACCATCCGTGACGCGCAGGCGCGGCTGCTCAAGCGGCCGCATCTCGGCCGCATCTAGGCCGCATCTCGGCCGCATCTCGGTTCTTCTCGGCCGCATCTCGGCTGCATCTCGGATCTATGTCGGCCGCATCTCGGACCCATGTCGGATCCAGGCGCGGCTGCTCAAGCGGCCCTTCGAGGAGTCCTCTTGGATCCCTTGCCGCTGCCAGACGGCTGCCGCGCCCGGACTGTACGCGCTGCACCTGTGAACAGCGCCTCTTCACAGGAGCAGCTGTGAACAGGCAGCCGCGCCCGCGTCGTACGCGCTGCACTATGCGCTCGGCCCGCCGCAGTTCGATTGGGGCAAGCTCGGCGGCGAGCCGGCGCGTCTCACGAGATAGGGGGGAGATAGGGGGGAGATAGGGGAGATATGAGAATTGGGGCAAGCTCGGCGGCGAGCCGGCGCGTCGCACGAGATAGGGGAGATATGGGGAGATATGCGGAGGGCGCGTCTCACGAGATATGGGGAGACATGGGGAGACATTGGGAGACATGGCTGTAGGTGCGTCTCAACTGCCGCGACGAGACGCTCGAGCTGATGTCCGACCCGCTGCTTTGGGAGGACATCTCTTTTGCGGAGCCGCTGCCGCCGCCCGGCGTATGGAGGCCGTCGCCGCCGCTCCGCTTCGACATCTCCGCGGCGCGGATCGACGCCAACGAGAAGGTGTACTACGACGAGCTGCGGCGGGAGGGCGCCAAGGAGGAGGAGGCGCGCGCGGTCGCGGGCGGGGCGGCGCACGGGCTCTCGGGCGTCGCGCTCTGGCCACGGCTCGTCCTCGACCCAAAGGGGGACATCGTCGTCGAGTCGCGCGGCCCGCGCGGCGAAGGGCAAAAGAGCCACTGGCAGACCGTGCTCGCGCTGCTCGCCCCGCGCCCCGTGCCCGTGGCCGCCGGGAGCGTGCTGCAGCTCGAGGCGACCGTCAAGCTCGGCGCCGCCGTGGACGTGCCTCCAGTGTACGAGCTGCAGGCGCGAGTGGCGTGATGAGGTTCTTTTTTATTGCATTTGCATGACAGCAAGACCTGCCAAGAGAGAATAACACAGTTTTTACACAGAGACGAACACCGCACGAGTGAGCTGCGGGCGCTGCGCCCCGTCTATGTGTTTCCCTCGGGCAGTAGATTCTTATTTCATCGTCAAAAAGCGCCCGTATTCACTTGCCAAAATCGCGACCTGGGGTGTTCGACCGGGCTACCAAAAGAGGAGTGAGGGGGGGGGGGGGGGAGGGGTTAAAAATGGGTGAAATTCTGAAAAACGTGCAGCACTTCTAGCCGACATCGACAAAAGTCACTCTCTAGCCCCGCGGCGAGCGGCCCCGCCGGAGGCGAAGAAGATTTTGCCATCTAGCGCACTCTAACACACATTTTTGCACAAATCGACGCCTCCAAAATAAGTCTTCACTGCAGCACGCCCTCCTCGAGCGAGTAATGCGTCTGTAGGCCAATATAGAGCTTCTCGCGCGCGCTCCTCAGCTGGCGGTCCGCAGGGCCGCCCGGGCGAGAAGCGCAAGCCCGCCAGCCGCACCATGTGATTCACGATGATGAGCGTCTCGGCCTCGAGCAGCGTGTAGGAGCGAAGCTTGCCCTCGCACTCGCGTTGCTCGAGCCTGAAGCCACTGCGCCTTGACCACGAGATAGCCCGCGGGGATGGTGTCGGTGTGTTGACGACCGTGTCCTCGGCCAGCGTGTGCGCCTTCCCCTTGAGCACCGCCAGCCAGTAGAGCACCTCGAGCGACTGCTCGCGCCGATCTCTGCGCGGCGACAGCGGCCTGGAAGGACACGTCTCCGGCTACGGGGAGGGCTACTACGAGGTCTTTGCGCGGGGGTGGTCGGGCGCCAGGCGCCCAGTCGATTGCCGCATAGTTCGTCGTAGTAGCCCTATCATAAACCTCTTATTCACACCTTGCACTTTGAAAAAAGAAATATCCGACCTTTGTCGAAGATCCGGAGGGTTTATCAGAGCATCACCCAAATCACTCCACAGCATTCAGGGGGGGGGGGGGGGTACCACGCATTCTGGTTGGTGGGGTTGGTAAAGGCATGAAGAGATCAAGTGCGGGGGCATTCCGCCGCAGAAGGTTGAAGGTATCCATCACGTTGTTAGCAGCCCTCACACGGTACGACGTTGTCGGGGTTCGGCTCCGACCCATACGCCTCGAGGCCCAATTCGTATCCCTCTTCGCAAGTGGCATCGAGCCATTGCTCGAGGGATGACGCGTTGATATCCACCGGCAAGTCGAGGGCGGGGATTAACACCTCTTCAACATCTGGTGTTGGGTTCGGGTAAAGGGAGCAGGTGTCGACGGTCTGCATGAGAACTTCGTTGAAAAATGACGGCCACACGTCCCCAATAAGCCCGCGCAGGCAGTTCAGCACCTTTGGCTTGTTCACGATGCTGATCATTGTGCGCACCTCGTCTGGGGTCCTGTCGAGCGGCCAGGGTGGACTTCCGCCCTTGTAGAAATCGGGGACGTAGCCCCACTGGTGCGTCTCTGATGTTTGCTCGAGAGCCATAAACGGGCCGTAGAAGCCGCCGTGATTGATGAAGGAGTCGCAAGCGGTTGATGGCTGATCCCCACGGTTAGGCAAAAACAGAGTGGCGTTGAGCGCCGCCAGCTTCGCCTGCATGCGCTCGAGCTCAACGGCAAAGGCAGGATCCGAGGCGAGGTCGTTGCTCTCTGTTGGATCCGAGGCGAGGTCATACAGGCAGCCGCCACCGCAGTCCTCTGTCCAAGTGAGTGTGTCGATCTGCTCCTGGTTTGTGCTGGGCTCGTACTGAATGTCCAGAAACTTGACGGTCTGGCGAGCCGGTCCTTGTAGGTTCTGCCCGCTCTGCAAGGTTGAGCAGTTGGGGAACACTGGACCCACGTGCCGACCAAAATACTGTTTGCCGGTGACGAGTTTAAGCAGACCTGCGTCTTGCTTCCAAACCAGAGCCTGTGGTGAGATGTGGATCGGATTCCCATCGCGCGCATCGCGCCCCGCCAGGATTGCTGCCCACTGCGGGACTCCGTCCAAAGGAGGCAAGCGCGGGTTGGTTGTTTCATCGAGTCTGTTGGCGTCCATCCAATCATTCGCCGCCTTTGCTTTCTGGTCTACGAGCACACCGTCGTCGAGCGACACTGGGTATTTCATCTCGTCATTGTCGTACAATCCGGCAACCTCTGCGAACGTGGTGTACCAATCAGCGATGGAGAAGATACCCGCATGAACGGTTCCACGAATCGACGCGGGCACCACGCCACCCGAGATGAACGCATTCGCAAGCACACCCCCCTGCCAGTCACTCCACTTGCCTCCTTTCAGGGGATAATTGTTTGCTCCGGCCGGGAGGTAGATTGGCCCGCCATTGTCGGAGAGAAACGCGAGGAGAGTATTTTCGAACATGCCCTTCCCCACGAGCGTTTGCACGAGCCTGCCAACAATCTTGTCCATGAGCAGCACCATGGAGTTGTACATCAATCGGCTCTCCAAATTAATTGGATCGCCGCCCTTGTCACGGATCGTTTGGTTGAGCTCACGGATTGCCGCGATTGGCGCTTCCAGCGGCGTGTGAAGAAAGTGAAAAGAGTGGAAAAGGAATAGAGGGTGCTGAGGTTGCGATGTGTCGTGGGCGCGGATCCTGTCCATCGCCGCGTTCATAAAGATGGTCTCCTCAAAGCAGGACGGATATGTATTTTCGTCACCGCCATTCTGACACCCGGTTTCGGTGCCCTCTTGGCATTTGCACGAGTCTGTCACCTGGCCAGGATTCGGGTTACCACCGCGGTACGTCTCATTGTACGAGAAGAAGTCAAGCATCAGGCTGAGACACATGTCGACCTCGCCAGTCGCTAAGAACGAGCCTCGCTTGTTCCAGTAGTCGTTGGCGTGCTGGTAATACCCAATGAACGTTTCGTACCCCTTTCCAAAGGGTGAGTGCGCCGGAGTTGCCATTCCAATGTCCCATTTGCCCACACCGTGCGTGCGGTACCCAGCTGACTTGAGTACCTCTGCCATGCCAGTCATCGCGACGGGTATACCAGCGTACCCGCTGATCGGATCCGCAGAGTTCACTGCCTCTGGCGCCGTGTTGAACATATTCACGTGCGAGCCGAAGCGGCCACTCTGGAGCGATGAGCGCGATGGCGCGCAGACGGCGTACGAGTAGTGCTGACTGAGGTAGACACCATCATCAATCAGCGCGTCCAGATTCGGCGTGTTGGTCTCGGCGATGAGCTGCTTGTTGCCGGTCTTGCGGGCGTTGTAGCCCAGATTTGCGTGCCCGTAGTCAACTGCGAGAATAAGGACAATGTGCGGCTTGCCTGCCTGTGGCACCGCAGAGAACGCCGAGGCAACCGCAGCACAAGCGACCAATGCGACTGCGACCTTAACCATTGTGCCCTAGCGACAATACAACCCTCAGCAGGTCGACACGAGGTGGGGGGGCGTTCGGCGTTCGCAGGCGCGTAACGGATCCGAAACCAGGGAGTAGACGAAACAGAGGAAACGCGGCGAGGGCGAGGCGGTGGCGCTGATCCGGCGGGCGGCGGCGCTGTGGTCGCCGGCAAGCCACTCGCTCTTCCCCGCGGCGGCCCGCGCGCGGGCGGCGCTCCTCGTCCTCTCGCTCTACGAGATCCATCCATCCACTCGAGCGCGGCACCATCTCGACTCGGCACAGTCTGGGAATACCCGGGTTGACCGCGCCGTTTTGAGTGGCCGATTTCGCCCTCGACCCGGTCGCCGCCGATGGCAGGAAACACGAACGGCATCGCGGCGCGCGACTTTGTCACGTGCGTGCTGTGCTTCGCGGTCACGCGCGAGACGGAGAAAGGGGAGCTGGGCACGTTCTGTTTGTACCGCGATTTCTTTTTTCCAACATTCCTTTGATTCCTGTTTGAGTGTTGTCTTTTTTTGCACGACACCGCAGCCTCTCCGCAAGGCCCCCCGCGACCGCGTCGAACTCATCGGCGCGGGCTCTCTCGGCTACGGGACCGGCCCCAGCTTCGGCTGAGGGCTAACAAGCTGCCGAGCCCAAATCACTGTGAGGATCGTGATTTCTTGTTGGTCTTCAAAAATCTCTCTCTCGACACAGAATCCGCCCGCTCAGAGATTTGGAGCACTTGGAGTTTCCCTTCCTTTCTTTGTCGAGCCTCCCAACCAGCAGACAGGCTCGACAACCAGCAGTCAGCAGACAGGCTCGATAGTGTCGGACGGAGGTGGCGAAAAAGAATTTTGGTGGCGAAAAAGAACCCAACCACGAAACTATCGTCTATCGAGGCAGGCGGCGGCGGCGTCGCAGGACGAGGCAGACGAGAGCGACGCGACAGAGGAGGAAACGACAGGAGGAAGAACGACGAGAGTGGGTGGCATGAGGGTTGCAACTATAACAGCCGCGATGCGCTCGGCGGCCCTGCTGGCCGAGCGTGGGCGCGCAGCCGGAAGTGAGGGTCGGGGCGGCCATCTGGATGGCGCGCTGCCCGGCGGGTAGGGGTGTTGGGCGGGGCACACTGGGCAAACCAGCCGATTTCCCTCCCGCTAAATCATCACGGCCCCGTAACACCCTCCGCGCGCGGTCAAAGGCTTCCCAGGGCCGGTCCATGACATGAACCGATAGACACAAGCAAAAAAAACCGCACCTCTAAGCTTCTCGGGCACCCCGAGGCCCATACGACGCCCCGGCGGGCCCCGGCGGAGGTCCGGCGCGGCGCTCCAAATCCGCACTTCGCGAGCTTCTACGGGCGTTCACGCGGCCTCTCCGCCTCGTGAGGCACACCCCACACCCACCACGAGTCCTGGGGCCGTGGGCGGACCTCTGGCCGCGGCGCCCGGAGCTTTGGTCGTCGAATATCGGCCGCCAACTAGGCCATCGAGCGAACGTGTCCGGAGAGGCTCTCGGATGGGTCCGGCAGCGGTCCCATGGACCCAGAAGCTCGCCCCGGCGGAGCACTCACGGCTCGGCCCCCGCCCCTGGTCACCCAGACGTGCCCTTGGACAGCCGTAGGGGCTCGGATGACGACGTTGGCGCCCGCGACGACGCCCTCCCCGACGACGTCGCATCTGGGGACTACTCGGGCGCGGCGGCGCGGATGATCACATGGATTGGGACTCTGAGCGATGGCAGAGGCCTTTTACTGCAAACGAGGACGCCCCGCGTGCCGCGAGGCCCCGTTGGCCGGGAGTGGTGAGTGGGACCATAAACAAGCCCTATATCCCCTACCGCGACCAGCCCACACACAGCCCAAACCGCTGCCAAACCGGCCCTGGTCACGCAGGCGGGGAGGCTGCCAGGGCGCCCAAACAATCCCTCACGAACGCCACACGGGCCATCACGGCCCGTCCGGCGGCCCGAGTGCCGCCCCACACCCGCCCGACGCCCTCAGCCAGCCAGCGCCCACTCTGAGAGGCTTCACCGCCGCCAGCGCGCCGAGCGCGCCGCCCTCTCCTCGCGCCACACGGGCCCCTGGCCGCACGCCCGAGAGGCGGCCCATAATTTGAGTCGAGACGCGCCGCCGGCCAGCCAGCAGCTCGCCCGCCACCCGCAGAGTGCCGCCGCCGCCCCCAGCCCGCACTGGAGAGGCTCTCCCGGCCGCTAGCCGCTGTCGCGTCGCCCGGCGGCTGCGCTGGCAGCGTGGCGGTGAGGGCGGTGGGGGAGATGGCGGCGGCGGGCTGGGCAATGGCGGTGAGGGAAGTGGCGGCGACGGGGGCGGGGGTGACGGTGGCGGCGGGCTCGGTGGCGGCGGCGAGGGCGGCGGCGGCGATGGGGGCGGCGGTGAGGGCGGAGGA